TGCGTTAAGGTCGTACTATAATTTATATACTGTATGCATGTATGGCTTTCCCCAAAGCCACCCTAGGGAGATACAATTTGTTGCACCCAATATTACCAAAGGGAATACAAGTTGTTGCACCCACCCTTATGTTGTGTCATGGAATATTATAAGTTGGTGATGTACTACTACCAACTTGGGTATACAGTTTTACTCATGTTCATGATTGATCACTTACTACATAACATGCACCCACTTGTTACATAGCATGTACCCACATGATGTGTAATTGCACCCATATGTCATGTAGTACGCGTCGGCATGTTTCATAGCAGGCGCCCACTTGTTGCGTGACATGTATATCCATGTCATGTGATTGCACCCACATGTTATATGACATTAATTTTCCTAGCATGTTGCATAATGAGCAGTCATGTAAACATTGTTATCACTAATTGGTATGTTGAATTAAATGTACAAGTTATTGTTATAGTCATTATTTGGTATGTTTCACCCAAGCTTGTGAATACGTAATGTTACGTTGATATTTTTAGTCGGTCTTACATTTTGTCAGTGGTTGTAATTCGGTTCTTTGCGTCATGTCGTACACTCCAAGGTGCCAGTTGTTGTTCTCATTGTCAAAGGTTGTTGCAAAGTCATGGTAATACATATTACTATGTATGTTTATTTGGTCACCAGTTGTGTCACACACTCTCCCAGATGAAAGTATTGTATGTTATATGTGTAGTTAATGTAGGATTTGTGAATATGAGCTCAATAATGTGTAATTGCAGTATCAGATTCTTGGTAATTATGTAATCTTACTTGAGTATGTATTGTACTTGATAGGAAATACTATGTATATTATCGTAACCACATTTCAGGGATCTTAGTTGCATAACGATCCACCTTTGTGCATAATCCTTGAATATGGGTACCCGTTGCCATTGAGTAACGCTGCACCATATATCATCCATGTGTCACAATATCAGAACTTTAATTCATATATATACATATTTCCACACTATGTGTGTTATTGTCATAATTACTATACTCACTTTGTAATCATATTGTAAATAAACCCATAATCATGTTTTCATTTATATTTAAACTAAATCATCTGTTTTGTCAGTTAGGTGTATGTTTTATGTCGCAGTGCGACATATTCAGCCATTTTGCCATTCAACCAGTCATGTCTGTAAAACCCTCGAGAGCATAAACAATCATAACACGGACCCGGTAATAATGTGACGATTCTTCCACTCACTCATCAACCCTTTAACGCTACCAATACCTTTTGCACTTACCATGCAGAGTGAGGGTCGTTACAGTTTCGATGGATTCAGAACTTGCATCAAAGGAAAGAATAGTAAGGAGGTTAAACTCAATAATGGCCCCAAGAAAATTCCTAATAATAAAGAACGCCGTTATTGAGTTTAACGACGTTGAACTAGGTTCATATGAAAGATACTTTACAAATGAATCCAGCCTTCAGTATTCGTGCAGGATTCATAGAAGGTAGTTTACAAGTGAATATATATAGATGTATCGAAACATGATTTTAATCCCTAACTTACACTTTACTTACAAACATACACTCCCCTCCATAAGTTTTGCAACCTTTTTTCCCCCATTGAACTACGTGTTAAAGCCTCTTTACCTTTGAATTTTTATTTACTTAACCTGCGATGAAAATACTTATACTATTGATGGAAACGTTATTTGACTCCAATTCCAATACCTCCAAATTTTCTCAATTTTTTCATCCTCAATTACAATAAGTCGAAAATTGACGATAAATTTGATGAATTTTTGAAAATCGACATTCTCATGTTAACCAATGGGAAATGGTAGGTTTGCCGCAAGTCATATGACAGAATATCCATATATCCGAGTCCTTGCAAAAAATACGAGTTAGGCAGGCAATTGAATTTGCTTTAAAGTCAGAATTGTTTTTCAAAAAACCTCTCCCATTGGAATAACACAGGAGGCGAAAAATTATTTCCAAAAATGACTTTGAAGCACTGTTACTCTAATATTCGTCAAATAAACTAAACACTTAGTGTTCAAAAAAGTTAGACAATTCAATTTTCTTTATAAAAATATTTTTTGCTGAATCTTTTACTGAAAAAGATATCCTGATTTCTGATTTGCCCCGAACCTTCCATTTCCCATTGGTTAACATGGGAATGACGATTTTCAAAAATTCATCAAATTTATCATAAATTTTCGACCTATTGTAATTGAGGAAAAAAATGAGAAAATTTGGAGGTATGGGAAATAAAGTCAAGTTACGTTTCCATCAATACTATAAGTTATTCCATAGCCGGTTAAGTAAATAAAAATTCAAACGTAAAGAGGCTTCAACACGTTGTTCAATGGGGGAAAAAAGGTTGCCAAACTTATGGAGGGGAGTGTACATGTACGTTACGTATACAGGGTGTCAAAAGCAACAGCAACCCCCTCTACAGAAATAAGTACTTAATTTTAAATGATATGTCATATCCCATTGCAAAGACAATTTGATTCTGCAGTTACCCGTGATATTTCAATTTTGTATCACATGATTCAGCAGACATACAGCTAATTGTTAATAGTTAGCATGGTAACCACTCTAATCCAGCAAGAGATCCAAAGGTCAAATTGTGCTTCGGTTAGCGATAATTGTACATCCGCCGATGCGTGATATAGTCCCAATAGATATGATTTCAATTAAGATTAAAATTAAAGATTAAAAAGGTGTAGTCACGCGTGCTAGAATTGCATAATACTTTTCTTAACATTCTTCAATAATACATCATTACTGTATCTCTTTTCAAGAGGCTCTCTCACTAATTCCTCTACCCTTTCTTTCATATTTAATTGAACCCGTATGTTCAACGCAGTTGAGATCTGGGCTATTTCTTACATATTCCATGCTTCATGAAGATTTGACCTTTAACCAAGGTGGCAAATAAAGTATTGAAGTAGCAGACTTTGAAACAAAGTAGCAGATGGCATACTGGTATAACAGTTGAATTAAAAAATTGAATAATTAAAACCTGATGCTGAAGAAATCAAATGTTGAAGTACAAGGGCCGATCAAAAAGTTTCTTACCGTTGGCTCTCAATTTTATAATAAGAAGAGTTGGAAGCTCAAACTTTAACATGAGACAGGATAGTTAGATTGCTTGAAACGAGTTTCATATAAATTGGTCTATTGGTAGTGACACAGAGTCAATTCATATTTTCAATGACAGAGTTAGGTGGAGCAGCGTTATATATAAAATATCTGCCGAGTTGTGCTTCTGGAAATTTACCGACCTCGTTTCAAACCTCTCATACGAAGGCCTTAAACATGTGTCTTTGGATCGAGTGGACAGATATCGGAAGTGCATTGCAACTTGGGTTGAATATTTTGAATGAGAATGAATAATAGCAGAAAAACTAATTAAACATGATTAAACTACAGTCTGTTGAAAGATGAGACTTCTTCGTGCCAGAAATTTCCAAAACTGCAGCTTGGCACAATTCTTTATAAAAAACGCCGCTCCACCTAATTCAATCATTGAAAATATGTGTTGACTCTGTGTCACTACCAATGAATCAATTTAGATGAAACTCAGACAGTCTCAAGCAAACTTACTACCCTGTCTTATGTAAAAGTTTGAGCATCCAACTCCTTTTATTATAAAATCTAGAGCCAACGGTAAGAAACATTTTGATCGGCCCTTGTACATGTATGAGCTAAACCTGCTTACAACTTTTTTCAGTTTAGATTGACCTTCTCAGGCTGGCGAAATGATCGCTTGTGAGGGAACAACCATTTATTTCCACGTAGATACACCCTATGGAGACTTTGCAAGCTGTGCAGATATCATATTCGCACGGTGCTTGTTTTAGTATAACAGTTAATTTTGAATTTGAATTCGTGATATTTCATGAACTAAGACATGTCGAGTACTCAATTATATTCAACCCGCCATTTATTTAGAGCTACAACATTTTCGATCTATATTTCCCATTTTGTGTAAAATAAAAGGGAATTTGTCAATGTGTACTTCATTCTGTAACAATGCACTAAAATCCATCCTTTTTCCAAAGCAAAAGTGCCAAGTGCCAACAAATTTAAAACTCCCGCTTTAATATACTGTTTAGTATTGGTGATCAAATGACCAATCGATATAAATGATTTTTGAATTTTGGAAGTCATGAACTTCATGTGTTCATGACTTTTGAAAATTAAAACATTTGTCGGATATGTGTTTATTCCTACAAGGGGTGTGGATATCCGTTACTTTAGGCCACTTATTTAGAGGTACAACATTTTCTTTCAATATTTCCCATTTTGTGTAAAATTGCAAGGAAACCCTTTGACTTTCAAATTGCAAATATAATTTGTATTGATAGGTCATCAGGATCACCGATATTGAATAATTGTTGTTTAAACTGTTTAACAGCAGCAATTTCAATGTTTTGCTTGTAAAGTGTATTATTGCTTGATGTGTCCGTATAGAATGAAACGCCGTGGCCTATTGACACATTTCCCTTATCAGGGATCCTGTACACATCTATGGGTATAATTGAGCAACCGACATGTTTTAGTTTGTGAAATATCACCCGCATCGCTTCGTATAGCACACAGTCTACATAGTGTGCTCATTTTTCGGGATAGTTGGGGTTTGTTTTCCTTATGACTGGTGTACTCTTAAATATATACACATATTAAAAGTAGAACTTAAATATAACATATATAATTAACATCTAAAAGGCTAAAACTATGCGGAAGAAATAAGTAACTTTGAACTTTGGCGCATCCGTTACGAGGGAAACTCTATTTTGTTATCCCAAAAATCTTCAGGATCATCCCCAAAGCAATAACTAAATCAGATAACTATTGACATTAGTTTCTCTAAGGGTTGCATGCTTGAAGAAGATACGATTGGTTCTTAAATAATGGTTCATCCACTTAACCAACGTGCCAGCCTCAAAAATATAACTCAGTTTAACCTAGATCTGCTTCTGTAATAACAAGTCTGTGTAGCCGCCTTGATAGTTAAAATGGGTATCGTAGATAACAATGTGATTTACCGTACTGCTGTACTAATCTCTTCAGTGATGGTCGTCGCTCAGGGGAGATATATAGACTTGACATACAACATCAACTCTGATGTCATGAGGTGGCCGAACCACACAAAGTTTACACTCAAAGTTGATATAAGAGGACCTTTTGCTGCATTGAATTTGTAAGTAAATGTTTCTCGACGAAGGATATAAGCAAACGTCAAATTATTATTTATTTTTAAGGCAAAATATCCAAAGAAGATTTACATCAATCGTTTCGGGCATGATGTCACTCTTATAGCTTAAGAGCAGAAATAAGATTAACTAATTTTTCAAAATCCAAAACCTCTTTGTAATCAAAAGGCGTTACCTTTTAAGAATAACATCATTAACACCTCATAGTCCCTGATCTGGTCCCTCTGAAAACAAGTTTTGTTATCTGGTACTTTCCCACAAAAAATGATTGTACCGTTTGATAGAACAGACTTCCCTCATAAAGAAAACACCTCTTATATTGATAGAAACGGGGGCAAAAGGCACCTAAATGGGGTTAGACAAGGTGGCATTCTGAAGTCTCACTTTCTTGTCATCACGATTCCAGGAAAACCACTAAATGGATTTACTTCAAATTTTCACACATATTACATGGTAAGAAGTTCTAGAGCTAGTTAACTTTCCGGCGGCCATCTTGCATTCTGGCGGCCATCTTGGAATTTTTTAGATAAGTATTGTCATCGCGATTCCAGGAAAACCACTTAACAGATGTACTTCAAATGTTCCTCCAAAAATATATAGAATACATATTGATAGAAACAGGGGCCAAAGGCACCAAAACGGGGTTGGACAAGGTGGCAATCTGAAGTCTAACATTCTTGTCATCACGATTCCAGGAAAACCGCCAGATGGATTTACTTCAAATTTACACACATGTTACATGGTAAGAAGTTCTAGAGATGATTAACTTGTGAGGTTTCTGGTCCTGCTTCCACAAAAATCATAGAATTGGTAACGTGCTCTATTAGGACCAAAAACCCCGAATATGTCACTTACCGTCTTGTTCTCATTTATAAGGCTCTATGGAAGGGGTGGAGACTCACTGTGTGATTAATTGTGGACAAATGACAACTGTGGACAAGTATGATTTCGCAATTGTGGACAAAGTGTAATTGCACGATTGTGGACAAATGACAACTGTGGACAAAAGTGATTTCACAATTGTGGGCAAAATGTAATTGTACAATTGTGGACAAATGACAGCTGTGGACAAATATGATTTCACAGCACTTCCCCTAGTATGAGTGAAAATCAGATTTGGGAGGGGAAAATATTCTAAGTCCAAACTTAAGAAAAATTTGGGCAGCACTTCCCCTAGTATCAGTGAAAATCAGATTTGGGAGGGACAGATATTTCAATTGCTATATCAGGTCATACATCACTTGTTAAAAGGAACTGTGTCTTCAAGGTAAGGCTGTATCTTCCATTCAGGGGGTTGGGAATTGTAAAGTGGACAAATTACAACTGTGTACAAACCCAAATGTGGACAGAAGCAATTGTGGACAAAGTAGATTAATTCATGTAAATGGTTGGTTTTGACACACTGATCACCAATGATCCAACAGAAAAAGATATAAACTGCTAAAATAACTTACTAACAGGATCTTAAGAGGTTCTGGACAAATCATTTGATTCTGGACTTGTCATATTTTTTTTTCAACGAAATCACATCCAAGGGTTGAATTTTTATTAGCTATTTAGAGAGTGAGTCCTGCCTAGTATTAATTTCAATAAAAAAAGTTAAAATATAACCCTATTTGAGAGTCAATCTAATACTTACATTACATTGATAAATTAAGGCAAATCCTGAAATATTTTTAAAGTGCATTTTTTTATGAAATATTATCCAGCAAGTATTTAGATGAAACGGTCTTATTTAAATACAAATCATAACATGATGATATTTTTCATTAAACATTTTTCAATGAAATTCAATTGAAGGGTCAAGATAAAACGAGCTAATTTAGGTGAAAACCCTTACATGATGATGTGTTTTCATAACTTCTTTTATAAAATTCCATCAAGGGGTGAAGATAAAATTATCGAATTTAAGTGATTAAGGATCACGAGGATATGTTTTCTATGATATTTTCTATGAAATCCCATCCAATGGTCAAGGTAAAATTTTTATTTTTATTTGGTATTAGGTCACGTCTTCGAAAGATCCATATAAGGCCCATAGAACCATATAGGAACGTCATTTTGAATGTCACGTGATAGATCCATATAAGGCTTTTAGAACCATGTATGGAAAGATGAGGGGAAGCCCCTGACACCTGTTTCACGATTTTATCCGAACGTTGTTCGGATCATTTCGGTTTTTATGCACTTCATTATTGTACCGAAGTTTGCCGATTCGATTCATCGTATTTCGGAATCCTGGTGACAATTTTATACTCCATAGGAGTATTTTTGACCTACTTCTTATGACGGAAATTCCCGAACCTTGTTCGGATTAATCCGGATTTTCTGACCTACTTTATCTACCGAGATTTCACGAGTTAACATTCGTCTCATTCCGGAATCCTGGTGACAATTTTATACTCCATTGGAGTATTTTTGATCTACTTTTTCTGGATTTTGTCCTACTTATTATATCTTGACAACAAGCAAATCAAAAAGTTCGACATGAACGGGTCTCGATCAACTAACATAGACAATGGAAGCCAGGCACGCTAACCATGAGACCAACGAGCTACCGATATGAAAGAACAAAAGTATTATATATTTATACCGAGCGTCAATTCAAAATGATCCTCACTTAAATACGACTCGTCAGTTGTATCCAGAATAGTAGAACGCCTATGGCGCTAGTGAATAACCAAGTCCCAGGTGAGTGGTTCGTATCCCTCCATGATATACTATTTTTGTTTTATTAAATACGACATAAAGGAGCAAGGTGTAGGTTGAAAACAAGACGTTAGTTTGTTTCAAAACAGTTTGGAAACATTAATCTCTGATAATTTAAGGTTTTCCACTCCTGAAGGGCCTCTAGATCTATGAAATTCAATAATCCACTCAGTAAAAATACGATTTCTCTGCAACCTGATGTCCAATCAAGATCATTCAAATATATATGTGTTCCTGACACGTTTGGGCGTCCGGGAATAAAATTGCTTGTGAAAACTGGCTTTGTATAAAAAACCTCCTACCTCATACCCACCTACTCACGTACGTGGGACATAATACAGTCTTTGAAGGGTTCAATTTTAAAGATCTTAGTCTATTAAATCTAAATTTATGATGAATTATAGAAGCATTTGTAACGATCCTTGATAGCAAGTTGCTACTACATCCCAGCTGGGTTCGATTCCCACTCGGAGCATCGAATTTAGCACACTTTCTTTCAATTTCTTTTTCTGGCTTGTTGGACCTATGGTCGCGGTCGTTGGTTATTTATTCCCCCGGGGCGCCCTTGGATCATTACACATTAAAATGCATCCACATGCCTTTATTTATGGATCTGTCATCTGTCTAGTCATAAAACAAAGCCGGAATTGTAGAAATGTTAATACTTTGAGCTATTTTGAGATTTAATAATCATTAAAATTGAACCCTTAAATGACTGTATCATGTTCCACGTAGGTGGGTATGAGGTAGGAGGTTTTTTATACAAAGCCGTGAAAACTATATACAAAAGTGTTCCAGAGACCCTTATCTACTTGGCTAAGGTTTTATTTGAAGATACATTGCCTTATTAAGCAGGTAGAGGGGCATACAGAACACGGAAGCAAATGCTATGTTGAAAATTTTCTATATTTCTATTTGAACCTGTGTTTACATGTCACGTAGGCCAGTGTTTTATATGGGGATTATATGTACTTTACTTGTTTACATGAACGTAAATCATTACATAAAATCTGCATTCTTCTGGGTTTAATCTGGGTTTGTATTGTCTTATTGGGGCTTTTCGACTTTAAAACAAACCCTACCTAAATGGATTGTGTCTCGGGAACGTTTTTGTAAATAGTTATTATAAACAATTCTGAAAGAATATCACATATTTTTGTCTTCCCGATTTCAGTCATGAATTACGTCAATTTCTCGTGCAAACATTGGGTAGACGTTGTCATAACCGGATGCCCGAACGTGTCAGGAACATATAGATACTCGAATGATGTTGATTGAACATCAGGGTGCAGAGAAATCGTAATTTTACTGAGTGGCTTCACGAAAAAATAAGCAGCACTTTAGGCCACCTTAAATACAACTCGTCAGTTGTATCCAGTTGGAATCCCAGCGTAATTTTTTTTTAATTATATGGTTGTGCTTTGATTTTACGCTGAAAACATTTATAACTACGTCAACTTTATATTAAAACATTTATTATCTTTTCAGTTGTATTAAAATGTAAAATATGATATATGTCAGCTTATTGCTTTCTGGAGAACAGTCAATGTTTAAATTTGGTACAATGAATCGGACACTCATGTAAATCGACATGGTTATAACATTGAACTCAATGCAGTAAATTAGTTATTTCTTTGAATCACAGCGGGATTGGTTTTATTTTATATGATTGCCAACTCTGGCGTTTTTTGTGAATGCTTTTGACCGCTGTAAATGTGAAACTGATACAGTATTATTCGATTGTTTTATGTCACATTTGCTCCGATTTTCACTACGGCGCCCGGCCGATTGAGTATTGTGTTCAGAAATGTATTCAATTTTGAACAAAATACTCGCAGCAAATGTGATCCGGGCATTACACAGCGGTATTTCGAACATACTATTGTTGCTTAACCACGACCTAGCCAATTTTAAAATCATACTCCTTATTTAAATCCAACGATAGGAGCTCATGGAAAGTATACATCTTTACAAATACTAGAAATCTACATGTTCGAGTGGATCACGAAGGGTCCCCATATAGCAGCAGCCTCCATAAAATGCAAAATACCTGTATTGATAACTTGACTTTGACTGATTTTTGAATTGAGATGAACTTGTTGAAACCTCGTGAAACGCCAGATACTAGTACCTAGATGTGACCTTGAAATAACGTTGGCCAATACACATTGACTTTGACCTTAGGTCACCTAATCATGTGTCGTCAAGGGTCATTGTAGCCCTCAAGGTCCTTTCAACGCCAAATACTTAGATATTAATTTTTGATCTTGAAACAAAC